TAGAAGCCTGAGAGATGACCTCCTAGTGCCTCCTGGCACCGTAAACACTCACGGATACCCTTTTAAGTACTCGCTTAGGCTCATTTCTAAAACAAACATTAGAATTAACACCCAGAAGTTATAGACACAGCAAAGCAGGATGGACTGTAAGTATTTCTACACTTTACGAGTTGTCAAATCCCAGAGTTTGCTTCTGACTGAGGTAGGTCGGGTGATCTCTCGTGAATTCACCAAGAGAAAACTTGTCATATTTTTAGGGACTCAGGACATCATCTGACGATATATATATATATTCAAGCATACCGAGGGATGACCTTGAAGCATCTAATTGTATTTTGCCAATATCTTTCTTTACATCAATAAATATACCTACGTTTCTACCTGGAGGTGTCGGTGATCTACCGCTGCTAGATATGGAAGCCCATCATTGGAAAGCTTCTTCAGACCATTTGTACTCCCACCATTAACTGTTTTAGGGCCAGCGAAATGTCACTAAGTTAGTTTGTCACACCATTCACGTCTAACTCGAGTAGGCGCGCTATCTAAAAAGGACAGTGGTATTGTTTCTCGTTGAATTAGTAAATTGTTTTGATCGTAAATTACGTATCAAAACTACGATTTACGCTTTAATTGAATCTAATACAGTTAAAGTGATATTATGTTGAGTTTTTTTGGCTTTTGTGTATTTATTACGTTCGAAGCATTCTTGGTCTGTGTCAAAGTACTTTCGTTAAGGTTTGAAATCTTGCTAAAGTTTTTCTTGTGGTAACCTTTTATTCGTTGACCGACATTTGTGTTCATACTGTGATCATATTGTGTATTACACTTTGATCAGACTAAAATGGTTGGTAGTACTCACAAATGTGGACAACCAAACTGTTTGTTCCCTGTGGAAGAGGGAATGCAGTGTGACGAATGCCATAAGTGGTTCCACAAAATGTGCACCCGCTTAAGTCCCACCGCATACAAAAGATGCTCGAAGCCTAACTCACATTGGCTTTGCATGTTTTGCTGTGCCAACAAGGCATTACTAATACAGGAGGCTATGAGCCTATTGGCTTTGGCCTGTAAAAAGAAGGATGGCATATGCGCTGACAACACGGGCACTGAAAGCGACGAATGTGTCAGTGTAGTACCTGCTGTTACGCGACGCCTCAAACAACCGACTCTGACCGACGTAAAAGTGGAATCTTCGTTGACATTGACAGGGGGAGTAGTACCACCTGGTACTGACATTGTTAATAATGCACCTTTAATGGGAACCGAAGATCTGGATAAAACAGTCACCGTTCCAAATAGTCCCAGTGTTATGAGGGATGAAAAATGGACTACGGTACGTAGGAAACGAAACGAAAAGAAAGAAGCTGTAAGCAGTACACAGGTAGTTAGTAACTCACTGGTGGACCCAAATTGTGAGCCACAAATTGCACTACCAAGATCTGATGGTAAGAATGAAACCCATCCTGGTGTGACTGAGAAGAAAAATCTAATAACATCGAATATTATTGTGAGCAAATTGCGGGAGTCAAACGACCCTGGTCCGAAAATTAGACACGCGCATGACTTAGAAAAGCTAGGAGAATACATTCGTAGTATTTTACCAGATAACTCCAAAGGAGTTCAGGTCAAAAAATTGGTAAGAATAGGCAAGAGGACCGAGGACAATGTTGAACCCCGTCCATGCAGACTCCTTAAGGTAATCCTAGGATCGGAGAAGCAACGGGATCTCTTGTTAAGTAGCGCTCGTTGTCACGACAATTCTGACATCCGAGTTAGACCTGACATGTCTCTCGAAGATAGAATAAAAAGGAAGAAAGCACTAGCTGAACTTGAAACCCGTCGGCAAAACGGCGAGGAAAATCTCCGACTAGTGGGTTTTCGGATAGTCAGGTCTTGGAAGCGAATGCTACCAAGGCCTGTGTGGATAGGCTGTTCCACTTAGGAGTTTTATATGCCAACGCTCGTAGTCTTCGAAATAAGTTCTATGAACTAGAAGCACTAGTGGACAGGTTAAAGCCACTCATAGTAGCAGTGACAGAAACTTGGTTAGTCCATGACTTAGACATTACTCCAGAATTATCCGGATACCATTGCATCAGGAGTTATAGACATAGACGTAGAAAAGGAGGCGGCGTCCTGTTATATATAGCCAATGGTATAAATATCCGCTCTTCTACGAGCGAATCCCATGATAGCGGCACTTGTGAAGTCATTAGCTGTAAGTTGGCTATAGGATGTAGTACATTTATGCTAGGTGTCATCTATCGGAGCCCAATCTACTTAGCTGATGACTTTGTTTTAGAGCACATTCATCTTTGGAGTGATGATACCATGTGCTTGATAATAGGAGACTTTAACGCACCTGATATTAGTTGGACTGACATGACCACAGAAGGATCTATAAACTCCTTTGATAGTAGGTTACTGATAACAATAATGGAGCATGCACTAGTGCAGCATGTATCCCAACCCACTCGTTTTGGTGTTAACCAGGGTTCTTCTCTGCTGGATTTGGTAATCACTCATGAGACTGAGGATATTGTCGACTTAAATATTCTTCCACCGTTAGTAAACAGCGATCACGCTGTTTTGTCATTCGCGTTTAGAACTAGGGACATGTTATACGATCAGGTTACACCGCGCCCAAATGTATGGAAAGCTAACATATCAGCCATTCAGGAATGCGTTGTTAAGACAAACTGGTTAGTAGATACTAGCATATCAGTTGAAGGAGCATGGCCTGTATTTAAAGGTAAATTTAGACTAGTTACGTCCCCGTTCATACCATACCTGGTACCGCGAAGACCGAATAATAGTCCACCATGGATAACTAAAACGGTCAGGAAACTCCTTAGAAAAAGGAAGAATCACTGGAATATGTTCATCTCTACTGGCTTAGAACAATACAGATCCAGTTATTGTAAGATTAGGAATGCCTGTAAAGCGTTAATAAGCAAGACTAGACATTCATACGAAAAAAATTGGTTAGGGATTCTAGATATAGTCCGAAACCGTTATTCTCGTATATAAAAAGGCGAACTAAGAGAAGCGATTGAATTCCATCACTTTTGATACGAGACAATCCGTTAATCTTAGCAGAGAATGATGCCGAAAAAGCTGAAGCTTTATCGGAATATTTTAGTAAAGTGTTTTCTATGGGTAATGAGGAACGATTAATGATTCATCGTGACCGTGACGGCTCGCTGATGGATCCCGTAGTCATTGAGAAAGATACTGTTTTAAGGCTACTTCAGCATCTCAAACCTGATAAGTCCAGTGGTCCCGATGATATTCATCCTAGGATTATGAAAGCCATATCAGATAAAATTGCTGAACCATTAGCGATACTATTCGACATGTCTCTGAGACAGTCCAGACTTCCTAGAGACTGGAAAGACGCCATAATAAGTCTGGTGTATAAGGCTGGGAGTAGGGATTTAGTTAGTAACTATAGACCCGTTAGCTTAACTAGTGCAGTTGTGAAACTGATGGAGAAACTCATTCGGATAGCTGTTATAAACTTTGTTGAAGGGCAAAATCTTTTCTCCAGGGCACAACATGGTTTTCGGAAAGGCCTATCTTGCCTGACAAATCTTCTCATTGCACGAGAAGAGTGGGCTGCGGCAAAGGATCGGAATGCTCCTGTGGATGTAATTTTCATAGATCTAAGTAAAGCCTTTGATAAGGTTTCACACTCTGGTCTTAAATTCAAACTGAAACGTTTTGGAATCCATAACACAGTCGTCGATTGGATAAGTAACTTTCTCCATGACAGGAGACAAAGGGTAGGGGTTAATGGGGCTCTCTCCTCGTGGGTGTCTGTAAAAAGTGGGGTTCCCAAAGGCACAATCCTAGGTCCTCTTCTCTTTTTACTTTATGTAAATGAATTGCCAACTGTAGCAAAATCATCCGTTCTACTCTTCGCTGATGACATAAAGATTTGGAGACCCATACATAGTATGTCGGATAGAATAGTATTACAGGACGATCTTAGCTCATTAGTGGCATGGTTGGACATGTGGTCACTAGAAGTAAATCCTAACAAGAGTGTAGTGATGCAGTTAAATAACTCTGATGAATCGTATGACTATACACTACGTGGATTCGTGCTACCCAAAGCAAAAAACTATAAAGACTTAGGAGTTATATTAAGCAATGATCTCAAAACGACTAGTCACTGTAAGGCTGCTGCTGCAAAAGGCTATAGGGTATTATGGTCAATTCGTAGGTCTTTTCAGTATTTAGATGATGAAATGTTTGGATTACTATACCCGATTTATGTGCGACCACATTTAGAATACGGGATTCAAGCAGCGAGTCCTTGTTTCAAATATGAAGCAGATATGCTAGAAAGAGTCCAACGACGAGCTACCAAGATGGTGCAAGGTCTATCTGGCCTATCTTATGAAGACAGACTGAGACACCTTAACTTATTTCCGTTATCTTACCGTAGAGTACGCGGTGATCTAATATTGGCTTATCGTATACTGAACGATGATCTTGGTATTAACATGTCTTATCTTTTGCTTCCGTCTAGAACCGATCATTTGAGAGGACATTCGAAGAAAGTTCAAAAACCGAGATCAAACCGTTTACGTCTGGAGTTCCGTTTCTCGCACCGAGTAGTGAATTACTGGAATTCTCTACCGGAACACGTAATATCAGCACCGTCTGTTAATATATTCAAAACGAGATTGGACCTCCACAGTATTACAAACTGCAAGGATTAATATAGGTCGACAGACCTCCTATCCTTATTACTGAAGACTGAAGACTGACATGGATAATCTAAGTTGGTGATCTACACTGTTTTTGCCTTTTAGATCCTGGTAGCATAAAAACATATGTGATTTTCCGATCGAGACTCGTCTCCGATTAACAAAGTACATCCTAGAAAACAAATGGCTTACTAATTTCTATTCATTATACATTGTAGACTTTGGCTCTTGCTTGTAGCGTTTTTTCAAGCTCAACGGTACTCAGCTGCTTTTCCAGATGAAATGAGTGTACAGGATAATTGCGGTGTTCAGGAGGTAAGAACCTCACATCGTGGAGACTGTTTCTTACTCCTCCCATCTGGAGAACGCGTTTTGGTTAAGTATATGAATGGACTGCAAATATTAGGATTTAGTTTTGGGTTTTTCGGCCTTGCCAGTGCATTCCTAGGTAGTTTACACTTATGTCTGACAATCACAGGACTATTGGATACTGTCCTCATCCCATCGTTATCTCCAAATGATTCCAATAATTATCCTGTTGAATTTAGCTTAGCTGGTGGTTATGGACTTCCTATTTATACCGGCGTGCTGGTAAGTATTCTATCTCAAAAAATAATTTGTAGGTCTTATCCACTGGAGCGATGGCCTTACGCACAATTATTAGCTTGCGTTACACTTCTGTGAGTATTATCTAGTTTCCAAGTTAAAACTTGTCAACATATTGTTACATGTTATAATCAGGCTGATTTCGTTAGACCTTTTACGACTTACATTCGTAAACGTATGTTTAATATTCTTTCAGGAAGATAAATTGGACCTCATGTGACCGGCTGGTAAAGCAGTTGGTTCAACTAAATACCCTAAGATAAAATCTAATTAAAGTACAGTGATTACTTTTGTAGCAAATTCTGTTATCGGACTCCTACATGATTTACTCTAACTCCTAGACAGATAAATCAGTATTTTTCAGTAGTTGTGTACACATATATTTACCCTTGTCAAGTACTCCCTGATATTCTTGAGCGTTTTAATGTGTTTGTCTGCGTGTGTTTGTTCATCAACTACCCCACTCGTCACATGCCTTTAGCCTGTCTTTTTCTGTCTGATTATAAATATTGAGCCACGTTTAATAAAAGTTAGTTGTCTATTTCTCCTGCATTATCAACTGTTTGAAGTATACGGTCTTGAATTACTTCCGTATTCGACTTTGCATTATCTACGTTAGTGGGATGTTTCGAAAAAAATATATACGAATTCAATTAGGTCAGTCAGTTACAACGTACGACCAGGCACATATCTGCATCGGTCCAAGTTACCATACCTCATTAGCACAACAAGATGAACACCGGACTCATAGAAGTGCTTAATTCAGTGTTGGTAATATATAAAAGAAGGATTGCATATGAGGACATAGTACGGGAAGAAAAATTCAAGTTCGACATATATTTTATCCAGATCAACGTCGTTTGATCGTCCTGTAGTCAAAGACGGGTACAAAAATCCACTTTATTTTTTGTTAGACAAGCTGAAAATTTTAACTGGAGGCACAATATTACCATAGCCTAAAGACTCAATAAGATCAACATAAGGACAAATGACATGAAGGAGTTAAATGGACAATAAATGGCAATTGGTTAATGAAATTTTCACAAATTGAAGCTGAATGAAGAGTCGCCAAGCATATCACTGCTGTTTATTTCGATCCACTCCACTTGACATCTACCATGTATTTCCGCCTTCTGACAGGTTTCGGTAAAACGAAATATTCCAAAACAACATACCAATATTGAATGTCGGTGTAAAGTGTTAGCTTAATTTCACCTAACTATAATTCTGAGCAGAGGTAGTTGTTTAGTCGGTTTCGGGATATTTGCTCAACATTTTCCTGATAAAAACTGACATTTTAGTCTGATTTTGGTTTCAGCTACGGAGATTTTACATATCATTATGGTTGATACTGTTGTTAAACGTTGTTTATTGGTGTTGTTTAATAGCTGCTATATCCTATGGAAATTTCGCACCAGATCCGTCATCAAATAAGGTAGGTTATTTGTTTCAATGCCATTATTTTTTCCGTATACATGGACCTGCTTAGTGGTTATCCTGCTACATCGTAGCTGTGATTGTAGAGTTAGATTATCACAAAGGCTTAGGTATCATGATATTGTTTACTGTCCAGTAGACTTCTTAGTTCACAGTATGGGCTACAAAACTTAGATTGGCAGTTTTAGATATTGAGTAATGTTAATATCCCAATCGTGTCACGTAAAGAAATGTACCTCGACACGATAATTGTTGTTATAACACGAGATACATTAATACTAATTAGTGGCTTAATTGAGTAGAATTATACAAGAACTTAAGTAGTCACGAATTATTTAAAAATGTATATAAGATATATGCATATCAATACTATCGTTTTCTTTGCATTACAATACCCCATACAATATAGACCTGTTTCATTTTGTACCTTATCTTAGATGAGTTTTTCTATGATGTATGACTGAGACGTTCAGAACTTGTGGTTAGTGTTTCACGAATGTAAGTTTTCAACGTCTACCCGTTTCATAAAACTGTAGAAAACCTATATCAACTTATTCATGACTCAAGTGATATTTTCTGGATTATTGGGTTTAAAAAAGTGCTTTATCGTACCTAATCTTTTTGATCCGATAGCTAACTATTGAAGTGTATATTATTAGCAATGATTCATCATGAAAGTATAACATTTGAAAAAGTAGTTTTTCACGACCAAACGATGTTCATCGGGTAACCACTGGAAATCTTTGGCCAGTAAATAATTATTTCATTCTGAACAAGATCCATGACTAAATTTAGGGTTGCTAGATCATTCACTAACCATATTACGATTGATACGGATGGTCAAAATTTAGTGGCTAACATTCATCAACTAAAAACATGTCGATTGTTTAACTAAACTCACTTAGCATAGCTTCACGTATTTTACTTCGTGCTACATTTATTGCACAAAAGATAGGTATACTACCCGAATTTTCCGATGAAAATAATTGCAGTGATATTTTAATTCATGTTACAATAATCACAGACTGGGTTCCCGTAATCACCCAGTCTCTGTTACTCAAAAACCATACGTTTCAGTAGTTCTTCCGCTTATATCAACTCAAGATTTCTAAGAAAATAACTTTTATGTAACCAAACCCCTGAAATTAATCACTTTGAAACTTCTTCCTCTTTCACTTAATTTTTAGATTTCCAACTCACATACCGTAACAAGAGTTTTTACAGCTGTAAATTCTGGCCTTTCTTTAATTCCGTGTTTCACAGGCTTAATACTGTACAGTCGTCCCATTCTTAGTAGAAATCAAAATATCTTGTGTTGTTATTCACTGATTCAACGGTTTAGTTACTCTTCATCTTATAGACGCCTTTCCGAGGACCAAAACCGAAATGATAGCACTAGTTCTATTAGCGAATGATTCTTTTTATCACGTTGTGTTTTATAATCTCGTTTTAAATAGATCAGACATTATATTTTGTACTTTCATTAACATTTTTGTCGAAATTAATCGTTTATATTCTATCTTTTATGTACATGACTATGAAAAATACCTTGAAAAATTCATTATGATTTCTAATGAAATCTCTAGTTGTTCATATATGTGTTACTTTTACCGATCATGTTCTGAACAAGAAGATACAGTATATATATGCCAAACATGTTCGAAATTAGAGGTGCAAAACTACAGTGCTGCAATTATTTTCTAACATACTCTTGTCTTTTTGCAATCTATGTACTTTTCTAGGAAATTGACCTAATTGTTTCAAGGTTTTGTTCTTCATAACTCGATATTTGCTCAATTATCTCGTTCGTTTTTTAGTTTTTCGTAATTTGTGTTTTCCGTGATCAGCAGTTAGATAAATATATCATTTATTGAAAGCATTATTATTATTATTATTATTATTATTACTATTATATACTGTAAATTCCCACACTAGTCGGTGCAAACCTATTGAATGACTAAGCTTGTTATCTATCGGATTAGTAGTAAATCGTTTGACATATATTATTTTCGATTTAGTGTGTTCATATAGTATATCTTACTATGATTAATTATTTTGGGATGATGTCTACTTGTGTAACCGATGTAAAGGCTTGTTCTATTCCGCTCTCTTGTTAGGTTTTTTGTTGTGTAAACAGCAGTTAAATAGCTGTTGAAAACGATGTGATTGATCATTATTAACAATACTGTTTATTGTGGCGTATCTAGGGGGAGACGTTCCAGCATCTTAAAAGGATTCTATGGATGATGTTTTTCGATGCAAGAATCTTGATATTGACGTAATATTTATGGATCATATTTTCACTTGAAAAAGTTGTCATATCAAATGGACAAGATATATCACTCAAAGGTCTCGCTTTAATCAGAAGAATAGTAGAAATTTGAAAAGTACTAACAACGTATTTCTTATTGTAATTTATGTCCAACCTAGTTGGATTGGTGCTGCACTAAGCACTACAGACAAAGCAACACTAATTGAAAGGGTCCTCAGAAAAAAGTTTCATATGATTCTGGGCTATCAAGTTCATTTAAAAGAAAAAGTAATTGGCAAAGAATACAGTGGTATACATATGTCTTCTCATATTGCACTAAAATCCAACTAAAGAAGTGTTCTTCCATGAATTCGATAGCTTTAACAAAACGCGCTGAACAGATTGCATGGGACTAGCTAAAGACACAAATATACGTGATAAAATGAGAACAGAGAAAACTGTTTCGATCCATTTTTTTGTGGTAGATTAAATGCTAGAAATAACCTTGTATAGAGTTGCGGAAATGCTAAAATATTTCCAAAACACGTTAAATTCGTAGACAGCTGTCGTTGGCATGTTACTTGGTGTTCTATTTCTTAAACTCAAATAGATCATATCGCTATTAGTTATCGATGGTGCTTGTAAGTAGAGATCTTTCACACTCCTAACTCCCTGTCAGGATTCTGATCACGCGTTCATATAACTCATCTGGTGGTCAAAAATTCATCACTATCAACCAATTGTTTTAAGTAAATTAGACCCACGGATTGTCGTGTCCAAGTAGTAAATCGTATTGGTTGGATTAACCTGTCCCGACTCATTGAGAATTTGTGATTAGGGTCTTAAGGATCATGCAATTTAGTGGCTGCAGACATTACCAGACATAAATGAGGAAGGAAGGAATTTATAGTCATGATACAGTTCCTAGTAGTGTTCTTAAGTAAAATGTAATTTTAACTGGACGGAATTTATCTTGGCCAGGGAATTCAATGAATATTTGTCATTCTGCATTGACTGTTGTTGATGTATTTATAAAATAAGTTATGTAAAAGTGAAACATGTTTATTTTTGGGTTATATTATGGAGACCATTTAGAGCCCGAGTACCTCACAAACTTCCGCCTGTTACTCCTCATAGAGGAGCATAAGCCCCTACCATCACTCTCCATTCAACCCTGTCTTGGGCAATCCTTTCCAATTATTATTCATCCTTTCCATATTTGCTTCTATTTCTCGACGTAATGTGTTCTTTGGCCTTCCTCTTTTCCGTTTCTCTTCAGGATTCCAAGTTAGGGTTTGCCTCACAAAGGGTTGCTCAAAATTAATTATTCTAAAGATTTATACTTTGGGAAATGAACTTGATGTATTACGAAGACAAATTAAATTGACCATAACTAGTGCAGCAAATGTGAACACAAAATAATCAATTTATCAGAGTTAGTTATTTTCGAGATATATGGTCTGAATCTAATGAATATCCGATATCCTTCCTAATTACGAAATTTTAACGCGTATGAAATTCCTTAAAACTGTGGAGCCGACATGAAATAAATTCAAATTTTACTGACACCAGAGGAAATGCTATGATTCTTAAAAAATCTTAGCAAGACTGCATGAACCATGGTATTTATTTCAAAGCAACACTGGGTATCCTAATTAATCATGAAAAACTAAGTATAAAGCTTTTTCATTTATACCTTTTATACTGTGTGTTGGTATAGATTATGAATAATTATGGGAAGTTTATAAAACAGTTCTCAATTTATGGATTACTCTATGTCAGTGAGACCACTTAGTAACATCGAGTAGCTGTTCATTACTTTATCTCGTCGTACTTTATAACTGCGCTCGCACTTTGGACTTTCGTAAACTTAATGCTTCAGTTAGCTTTAGAGTTCTTTAAATTTACTTCTATTAAGGATGGCGTTGTATTCCGATGTTCCGAGAATCATTTGCATGAGGACGATTTTCATGAAATACTGGTATCTGGTGATGAACGACTAACAATTGGAAAATTGTACATTTTAGACATGTCTTCTATGAAAGCTCGTTAATCTATTTTAGTTCATACAATTTATGCTACTAAATTAATACCAGTAGTATAAAACTGACTTTAGAGTGATGAGGTTTTTTTTATTCACCGATGGTAGACCTCAAAAGGATTTTATTAAGTTGTCAAAATAATCTAGGGAATGGGTATTTAGGCACTTTATTAATTTCAAAAACTAGCGTGTCGGCCGCTTCACTTATCTGGGAAGTCTCATCAGCCCTTGTGGTCTGGTGTGTGACGAAGTCTCAGCGCGGATACAAAAGGCTCGACTAGCTTTTGCCAACTTGCGTCATTTATGGCGTAGGCGAGATATCCGTCTATCAACCAAAGTACGTGTTTACTGTGCAGCAGTTCGTTTCGTCCTACTTTATGGCAGTGAAACATGGCCGGTAAGAGTAGAAGATATTCGTAGGTTACTAGTATTTGATCATACATGTCTTCGAAACATTGCTTGTATATCCTGGGACCACCGAGTAGGGAACTCAGCTGTTAGGAAACGGGTACTAGGTAAGGATGACAAATCAATTGATGAAGCAGTGAAACTTCATCAGTTGAGATAACTGGGACACGTGTTACGTATGCCCAACCACCGACTGCCTCGACGTGCGATGTTTTATCGTGTATGAGTAGGTTGGAAGAAAGCTAGGGGGAGCCAGACCAAAACATGGCACAAGTCCATGAAGTCACTGACAAGTGGACTGAGTCATGTTGGTAGGTGTAAACTATCTGGTTGGGGACCGCGAGGTGATAGCAACTGATGGTTAGAGACCCTGAATGACATGGCTCAAAATCGTTTGCAATGGCGCGGGTGCATCCACTCTTTGTGTCCTCCCACATTCTAATCTTCTGAATTCCTATGTCCCTTTCTTTTTCCTCTTTCCGGATTTATTTCACTGGGTTATACTCTTTAAATAACATCTTCAAACCCCAATCTTTCCGATTACTGCTTATACTCTTACTACCTCCACCACTACGGGATTTGAATCGACCATTGTATCTCTGTGCTAATGTGGTATGGCAACTCGAACTGATGTACGTACGTACGTACGAAGTTCCATGTTGTTACTGACTGACTGATAACTGCTTATGGTAAGATCTCTGTCAGGCTTTTATATGTGTAAACAAAATATTACTGGATCTGTTGCTACCTTGGGGACTTGATAAGATTCAGACAACATCGAATTTCAATAAAATATCTGTTTTTAATGTCACAAACTCTAAATCTAAGGAATTTTTAGTCCGCTTGCTCTAAAACAGGGAGATCAAAGTTTTCTAACCTATCATCGATGGAAATTCATCTGTTTTTTTAATATGCTGAGGATTAATATTAAAAATAACATTTTTACATTTTCTCAATAGTTGCTGAAAGTCTAAGTTTGTTAAACTTCAGTTAAAATGTATGTGAACAATATTTGATAAACATTATTTTGGAACACTGAAAAGGACTTTCACTGATATATGCTTCTGTTTACTAGTAATCCTAAGTTTGTTATTATACACGTTCACAGACACTGCTGACAAAAGACATAATTATGGACTCATATACGTACGACAGTATTTTTCTCGAAATGTTTGAGGCAATACTAGCAGGAAATGTGGATAAACAGGCGGAAAAACCTTGGTGACGGTTTCTCAACAGGTGTTGCGTCCAAAATGGATAATTATTTGAAAGGAATCTCTAATAACTAATTAACTAGTGAATTTTCTGTGTGTGTTATCTTTAAGTCTCAACTTATGATTTACTTACCCTTACATACACCTTTTTAAGGGAAATCATCACCAGTTTGTCACATACATTAACGCTTATCATAACGCTTTGTTGTATTTTATCAGAAATCTTTATTTCCTTTTGTCATGTCCTTAGCTGTAGAATTATCACGAAATACTATTGGCAATTTAAATACGCTGACTTATACGCCCAAACTAATGACGCATACACCAGTACGGGTAGCCTAGAGTTCCGATTGGTCCTTTTTCCACCTAGTCCTACCTGTTAGGTCTAGAACGCCAATCTTAGCCTCCGTGATACGAATCATATGTTTCAAATCACACTAGAAAAT